AGAACAGGATTCAGGAAGAGTGAATAAGGCGATTGATCTTGCATTTACAGTTTTGAAGATCGTAGGTGACAGGGAAGCAAGACACCGGAAGAGAGTTCCACGGGCGAGAAATGTGAGAAAAGAAAGTTACAGTTACATCTAACTAGCTTGTTATTTAGCTGCCATCGAGAAAAAGTTCACATTAATTGCATCTGTTGAACAATCCAAAAAGTATCTGTTGTAATGGTTAAAGTATTTATAAACACATTCACCTGAACAATCAAAACAGCTATTTGGCTATAATTATTAAATTCTAATTAACTACATTCATTTGAACAATGGAAACAGACACTGGGTGTCATCGTTAAGGCCCGTTTAACTGTTTTCAGCCGGACAATCCCAAATATTCATTTGACTGAAATATCAGAACTAACAGAAATTGTATTTTCGCTGTAATTGCATATTTCATTTAATTGTTGTTAATGTCAATTTAACTGTAATCAGCTGGACAATCCTCAAAAAACATTTGGCTTTAATCGATAAAATTAGTTTCAAAAGAACGATAAGCAAAATCGACTTTGGGATACGGTCTCTGGAGTCAATAAGTGAACACCATCAAAAGTGAGAAATGTTGTAGCTGTACGTCGTTAACATGACACGTAAAAAATTGAGAGATAATGAAGCATAATTTAGAGAGAAAAAGAGAGAGAGAGTGTCGAAGAAAGAAAAAAGACATGGGTGTAATGGCGGGGTAAGATGTGGACAATGAAGAAGTGTAAAAACAAATAAGATAATAAGCAAACAGAAGTGCAGAAAATAAAGGTAACTACAAAATACTAGAAAAAGGAAGAGCAATATGGAAAGAGAATAAAAAAGAGAAATTGTAGAGTATGTGCAATGGAGAGATCAATAGGGTAGAGGAAGACACAGAAGAAAAATAATGTGCAAAAGATATATGGAGGAGGAAATGGATAGAAAATGGATAAAAAAACAATAGAAGAGATGATGATCACGTGATAAAGAGATTGAGGAGAAAAAAAGAGTATGGGTAGAGGTCAACTGGGGCGGATAGTAAAAAAAAATTCAGAAAAGAGGGGATAAAGGTATACATTCAAGAGAATTATTGGCTACACATCCCATCATTGAAATTCAACAACCAAATGCGTACGTATGTACACAACAGCACACACATACATATATGTGTCAAGTCCTGTACTGTTCACATATGTTTATGTTTGTGTGAGCTCCGGTGGGCGAGTGTGTGTGTGTGTGTGTGTGTGTGTCTGCGTACCTCAATGCGTGTACGGGCCTGCATATATGTTTGCATAAATATGAGGAGCGTCACAGCGATAATTTTTCCTCCCACTTCCATAAAAACATCAATACACGCAACCTATATAAATCCATAATTTTTAAAAAAATTAATCAGTTTATCTGACGATCGCAAAAGCGTGAAACCCAGGGTCATAAACTCACGTCAATCCAACTAAATATGTTAACAATATCTCTGATAGTGAGCGCTTTCCAATAAGTACCGCACGTATAAAATATAAATAATATATTGCTCACACACACACATATATATATATATATATATATATATATATATATATATATATATATATATATATATACATCTCATATATATATATATATATATATATATATATATATATATATATATATATACTAACCGAGGTATCCGGCGTTGCACGGGTGTACATAGTATAACCTTACCCCCTATCTAGAAATGTTTGCCTGCTTCCCCGCTTGCATGCATCACCGTTGGTATACTAAGCTACGCCCCGCCTTCATTTTTTACGGCATGTTCTTCGCAAGTGTTTGAATATTCTTAATAAAGGAATTCCATCGATAAAAAAACCTTCTTGTATGGTCGTTGCTCGGAGTTAATTGTTTCAGTGTTTAAGATATTCAGTAAATTTCCTATGACCGTAATAACTTTCAAATAGTATGTTATTTTTCATAAATCTAATAAACAAAAAAACAGGGACGAAGCGTCAGAGCTTGATTCAACAGCAAGTGTAAACGCAAGAACGTCCCCTCCTTCTTTGCACGTTTACTGTAAAGCTGGGGCTAATAAAAGGTTATTCGCGAATTTTTCCCTTTTAACGCTTCAATAATTCTTCTCAAACAATCTTTGTATTAAAGGTTGTTCGAATGCCAATTTAGGATGGAATCATATGAAGAAATTTGTTTAAATGGAAAAAGACGATTTTGGACCTAGTTGGTCGCAGATTTCGTCTACTTAACTGAAATGATCTAAACCAAATATTCACTCAAGACAATTTGTGTGTCATATCTAATTTATGTAGCAAATTTGGAAAGCATCGGATGAAAAACCAGGGAGTTATGGCCGAAAAACTGTCTTTTTGAACAGTTTTTCGTGGTTTTTCGTTATACGCGGGGAAGCTAGTAGAACTAAAACCACAATATCTTATTTCTTGCATAATGGAAAATTTTTGCGACATGTTTGAAGAAAATATTCAAGTTTTTATTTTAAGCTATACGAAAAACCCGACATTTTCCCAGTTTTTTGCAAATTTTTGTGTGAAGCCAATGTCGCAGGAAAACTATGAAGCACTCTATATAAACCTCATAACATGAGCTGATGTTTTGCATTAAGTGTAAAAAATATCAACTCATTCAGTAAAAATTGTGTTCACGGGTAACGCTGCCTTGGCTTTTGCAAAAAGTCGTACCCACCTTCAGTTTTATCGATTTTTCTGCAAAACCCGGGGAAGGGGCTGGAGGATAACAAGTGTGTTTTATTCTATCGGGGTAAATTTGCAACATGTGTATACAATTTCATCGAAATCGGTCGAGAAATATGGACGTGCATAAATAGCATACACACACACTGACATACACACAGACAGACATCTTCTGTTAAATATATATATATATAGCTTTATGGTTTGCTATATTTATGGGTAAAAATTCTCAATATAAGAGTGTATGTGTATGCAAAATAAACGTTGACACTGACGTCAACAGCAAGCAGTGACAGTCTGTTTCATGTGTGAATGCAATCTTCAAGCCTTTTGTGTTGCTTTGGCACGACTATTTTTATATATTGGTCAATGGTGCATTCTGGGTAGAAAGGTCTATTGTATTTTCCTAACGGTTATGTTTCAAATTATTGTAGTGGATGTTAGAATAAATGTGTATCAGAATGAGTTTATTTATATCTATTTTATAATGTTGTTTATTAACTTTTTATTCATTATTTATTACTGATTACTTTATTATTTGCTGTTGATTATTATCATTGTATTAACTTTTGTTTACGTGTACATTCCTTGTTTGTTGATTTCTTTATTATTTATTTAATATGTTTATTTATATTTTTTCCCCGTGGCTGGGGTTAGGGTTGTTTTTTCTCGGTGGCTGGTTAGCATATTTGCTTAGTTTAAAGTATAGGTTTGTTTAAAATATGTTGTATTACCTGCGTTGTATATAGTGTATATATTGGCATTTATTATAGTGGTATTTAGTAAGGTTTTCGTTTTTAGTTTTCGATTTTTAAGTAAGGTAGTAAAAATTTATTTTTGTGCCTGCATTTTGAGATAAGTTCTGATCATTTATTTAGTAATTTGTGTTGGCTTGGGAAGCTCATAATAGCTATTTTGCAGTTTGGGGATTAAAAAGAAAATACTGAAGTTTAGGCATTTTGAATACAAATACTGAATTAGGACTACGGACACATATATATATATATATATATATATATATATATATATATATATATATATATATATATATATATATATATATAATTCTTCTATTCAAGTATATAGATTTAACTGCACACAAAAGCAGGAAATTCATTTTAGAATATTTTTTTTCGAAAGTGCAGTTACTGATAGTTTTTTCTGGCTTTCTAATTTAATAAACTTTGCTTTTAAATGCTGACATGTTTCAACAACGGGAGTAAATATTTGTAAAATATAATTTTAAACTCGATATTAAAAGAATACCAACATTAATATGTTCTTGTTCCCAAAAATATTGTATAAAAGTACTTTTTGTGATTTTTATGCAACATGGTATAATCGAGATGATCTCGATGAAAACTGTTGTCAAGTGATTTTTTTCCGCTGTTATCAAAAATGTCTTCAATGTATGCATCTATTTTATAATCATTAAGCAGACAAATATTTATGAAAGTTAATTTGTAAAATGAAACCAACAAAAAAATCCAAAAAGCACATGTTTAATAGCCTAAAATAATTCCTAATCAAGAAAAGTGGGAAAAAGGGGATTTGAAAAGTATTGCTTGTATACGTCAAACAATTAGGTTATCTGTTGATGGAGGCTGAGAAATAATTACTAAAGTTTTAAATGCTTTGTTTTATAGGTATTCGTTTCTTAGTATCTTCCACTAGGGAATTTGACAACTGGTAGTGATAAGAACGAATGAAGAAAGAAACTATTAAGTGATTCTCTTAATTACCAAGTTATTGTAGAGATACGTTAATGAACAGATTATTTGGAAAAGAAGAGAAAAGAAGGAAAAACATGAAGATAATTCGAAAAAGAAAAAGGGGCGAAGGTGAGAACAAAATTAAATAGTAAAAAAGGTGCGAAAAAAAATTCAAAAGAAAAAAAAACGTAAAGGAAAAGTAACATAATTTAAAAAGCGAGAAAAAACATCAAGCGCAAAGAATAATTAAAACAAAGGAAACTGAAAAGGGAATTAACTGAAAGAAAGAAAGAAAGAAAGAAAGATTATATCAGTGAATGAAAAGCATAAAAATGGAAAAGTCAAAGGAAAAAAAGAATATTAAAAAAGAAAGGGAAAAGGGTGTTAAGAAAGGAAAAGAAAAAGAATTGTTAAATAAGAACAAAATAAAGGAAAATGTAGAAAGAAAGAAATATAGTAAAGTAGAAAAAGAGCGTATGAAAAGAAAATATACTTAGAAAGAGATACTTTAAAAAGAAAAAGGAAAGAAAAATACAAGTAGGATAAAAATAGAAGATAGAATGAAATAAAATAAAGGCTAAAAGAAATCAAAGAAAGAGAATAAAGAAGAGACAAAGTCAGAGAAAGAAAGAAAATGATGAGAAAGGTAGGTAATGAGAGAAGAATAGAAAGAAAAATGAAGAGAAGGAAAGCAGATAACGAACGAAAACCAAATTAAAAGAAAAGACAAAGAAACCAGATGGACAAAAAAGTAACAAAAGAAAACGTAAAAATCAGAGAAGAAAGTAAATATTGGAAATATACAAGAGGGGGGCAAAAAGTAGGCATGATAATGAAAAAAAAACAATATCAATTTAGAAAAAGGAAAAGAGAAAAGCAGAAAGAAATACAAATACTGAAAAAAACTGAATGGTTTTAAGAAGGGTTTAATTAGAAAAGAAAAAGAAGTACAAAGATATATATTGCACAGTAATGAATAAATCAAAACGTTTCGTAAAATTATTAAAAAAAATAAAGAAAATCAGCAAAAAGGACAGAAAAGAAAGAGATTCAGAAAGGAGAGACACAGCAACAATGGAAAAAAAGGAAGAAAATAAATTTTTTAAAAAGAGCAAAGAATTATTGAGATTTTTAGGTTAGAGAGTGAAAAGGCAATAAAAGTAAGAAAGAAAAAAGAAATGAAACTATTAAAAAGAAATACATTGCCAAACAGGAGAAAACTTGACGAGAAGTGAAAAAAAAAGCTTAATTTATGAAAGTGAAAGAATATAAGTAATTCAAGATTAGATTTGACATTTTGGAGAAAGCTGTTTCTCATTCAGGTTTTCATTGATGCTAGGAAACACCCCTATTATCTTCAATTGAAAAGTTTAATGATAGTTTTACGAGACGATATGTAAAGGTTTGCGGGTGAATTGTGATTTTCTTTTCTTTTTACAGCGGAAATACTTGAAGACGTGAATTCTTCAAGAATTTATTCATAACTGGCACATCATTGTATCTGGTTCACTAAATTTAGACAGCCTATGATTTGCCCTTTCTAGCCCTGAATTTCAATATAGAACAATATTATCTATCGGCACAATTATATAAGACTCTGTACAAGTTAGTGTTCCTTATTTGTTGATGTATGTTTGCAGAAGTTGGGACCACAGAAAACAAACCAGGAACACGGATTAGATGTAAGAAAGATATATTAACAACAGTTTATTAAGATAGTGTACAGGACCGCGTGCTTACGCCAATATCAAATGTATCCAGTAGTGTCGCGCGGTGTCGCCTACTTAATATAGGCCTGGAAGAGTCTATTGTGTAGATAATTTCTGGTCTCACAATACCCCCCTTCCAAAGAGTTTTCTTTTTGAAAAGGAGAGAAAAAATAAAGCTGTTAATACTTTTTCCTCTTGGGATTTACGTCGAGCGGTTAAGTAAATTTCCTTTTCCTTCCTGAGCGTCGCACTTCAGGAGAGACTTGGGGCATGTCGAGATCGAAGTAATCGAAAATTACGTCGATCGGCTCTTCACAGTTATTTTGTAGTGATTTCGATTCCTTCAAACGGCATTTTCTGAGCTGGTTCCAATGGCGTTTGTGAATGTTTTTTGGTCCTTGGACCATATATACCAGTTCGCCAATTCTCTGCTTTATAATGCCCACTTCCCAGAATGTCATATTGTTCTTGTACGCCTTGAAAAAGACCCTATCGCCAGGATTGAAATATTTCCTATGCGGCGATACGGTTTTTTTAAATTTTGCTTGCCGTGGAATCAGTTTATCGAAGACAGACTATTTTCCTTGCGAACATTGTTTCTGCAGACGAGCTTCCCATAGGCGTGTTCGGATTAGGGATTATCCGATACACCTGCAGAAATTGTTGCAATGCTCTATCTGTCGGTGTGCCTAGTGCCTTTCTTAAAGCCCTTTTTAAAGTGTCCACGAACCTTTCGGCCTGGCCATTTGATCTAGGGTGGTACTGAGGCGTTGTAACGTGGTCCACCTGATATGACTTGCAGAAGTCTCTAAATTCACTTGATGTGAATTGAGTGTCATTATCAGTAACTATACAATCTACGACGCCAAAACGCGAATAGCTCGTGTAAAAAATCCGATCGTGCAGTTTGTGGTTGGTCTTTTACATTGTAGGACCTCAGGCCATTTTGAGTGGCTATCCACAAAAATGAGATAGTACATGTTGTCCATGGGCCCTGCAAAATCCACATGGATTCTTTGCCAAGGATGATCTGTTTTGGGCCATGGTTTGCACGTCGTGTTTGGAGCTTTTGCTGCAAGCGCTCATCCTTTGCATGCTTCTATCATGTGTGCTATGTCCTTGTCTATGTTTGGCCAATAAACGTAGCAGCGCATGAGGCTTTTTATACATATCTTCCCCGGATGTCCCATGTGAAAATCCCTGAGGATTTTTCTTTGTAGGCTGTTTGGAATCACTACGCGGTCATTATATAGTAGGACATCATCGCAAAGGGAGAAAACTTCCGGCACCTTGGGGTCTTTGTTGCGCATTTTGCTTTTTATTGATTGAATGAATTCATCCTCTCGAGACTCCCTTTTTATGTCGGCCAAAGTAACTGGGAGCTCTCTTATGGTACTCGCAATCATGTTTTTTATTTCACAATTTGTCCTTAAAGTGGCAATGATAGAGTCTTCAAAGACTTCTGTATTTTTTGGAATGAGTCGCGATAAACTGTCTGCATGGCAAATATTTTTGGTTGTTAGGAAGTCTATCTTGAAATTATTTTTTAAAAGAATTGTACCCCAATGAAGTAGTCTATTTGCAGTATAGACTGGCAGACCTTTTTTAGAACCAAAAATTGTAATTAGAGGTTTATGATCTGTCTGCAGTATGAACCGTCTACCATGTAGATATCTGTGAAACTTTGTCACAGCGAATATTAACCCTAGATCCTCTTTCTCTATTTGGGAATATTGTTTCTCAGCTGGAAGTAGAGATCTTGATGCGTGCGCCACAGCTTTTCGCGAACCGTCTGGCAGTTTATGTAATATGCAAGCGCCTATGCCGTACAAGCTTGCATCACTTGCGACTATGATGTCGAGACTAGGGTGAGGGAGAGGTCTGAAGTAAGAGTTTTCTTGATCTTCTCGAATGCGTCTTGGCATTCCGGGGTCCATGACCATGGTTTGTCTTTTTTTAACAGTTGGCTGAGAGGCCCTCTCAAATATTGCATGTTCTTAATGAACCCTTGGTAAAAATTAGCTAGTCCGAGGAAGCTTTGTAACGCTTGAACGTTATCTGGGGCCGGCATGTTTCTGATCGCGTTGGCTCTTTCTGGGTCCGGCCGACGACCATCTTTATTTATAATGTGACCTAAGTATTTAATCTCTGGTAAGAAAAAGTCATACTTTTTCTCCTTGACCTTAAATCCGTATTCTTGTATCTTTTCGAATACGTTTATTATATGGTCCCGGTGCTCTGCCATAGTTTTACTGGTAACCAGTATATCATCCAAATAGGTTGTTGCGTAGTCAAGATCGCCCAGCATGGCGTCCATGACCTGCTGGAAAATTGCAGGTGCAACCTTCACTCCAAAAGCCAGCCTGTTGTATTTGTTCAACCCTCTATGGGTGTTTATGCAGAGCAATTTGGAACTTTCTTCTTCCACCTCTATCTGAAGGTATGCGTCCGAGAGGTCAATTTTAGAAAAAAAATTTCCACCATTGAGTTTATTGAAAATTTCTTCAGAGCTTGGGAGAGGATAGTGGTGATCTTGCAAGGCATCGTTTAACCCTGTGGAAAAATCTGCGCATACTCGTATTTGATTGGATTTCTTTTTTACGTAGACCGTAGGTGCTGCTCACTCGCTGAAGTCTCTTTTTGACAGAATACCTGCTTGTTCGAGTCTATCTAACTCTTTATTGATTTGCTCTAGAGCAGCGAAAAGGACATTCCGTTTATTTTTGAATACCGGTTGTGCACCGTCCTACACCTTGAACTTAGCTTTCATTTTAGTACATTTCCCAAGGCCACCAGAAAAAACCTGGGGAAATTGTTGTTTTAGTTCCTTTTTTAGATTTACCAAATTGGACGTTGTACTTTGTATCTTGCGACAAAATGTACTCATTGGGCAATCCCAAAGATTGAATTTTCTATCAATCTGTTCCAAATAAGTTATCTGAAGTTTTCAATACGTAGGCTTTGAACTTTTTGGTAACTCCATTTAGTGTTACTGTAAGTATTACCTCACCTAAAATGTTAATCTTTTCGCCAGTTACGGATTTTGCTGTTTTATCCGTTTTTAATAAGGTCGGCTTGTTTAACTTTCGCCAAGTACGCCAGTTAATAGTTGAAAGATCAGAACCCGAGTCAAGCTGGAATTTAATGGACTTATTGAAAATATCCACTGTTACATATTTTCTTAAATTTCTATCAACAATATCGTCAGATTCAGCTTGCCTAATTTTATTTTTGGGTTTTCTGGTTCTGTTGGCGTACCAGCACGAAGTTAAAGTATGACCACTTTTATTGCAATTTTTACAATATTTTTTGTTCTTAACTGGACAGAATTTCATCCAATGCCATTTACCACAATGGTAACATGGTCCGGGCGGTTTCTTTAACTTATTTGGGTTTTGGTTACTGCGTAATTTAGGACATGAGATTTGTCTTTTGTCTTTTTGAGGGGAATAGGCGGTAGACTTACTTCTGATTTTATTAATCTGAGTTACACCTGATTCCTCGATAGTGTTTGAGTCACATTTTACAGATATTACTCTTTGACAGTCCTCTGCCAGTTTTTGGAGAGTCAATCCTTGTTCATTCTCAAGCTTGGTCAGTACCCGTCGTCTGACTTCGGCGTCTTCTGCTGATACTAGACCTTGTGCGAAAATCAAGCACTTGAAATCATCGGCAGTCAGTTCGGCTAGTTTAAAATCACTACAGAGCTTGTTTACTGATGCTGCAAACGTTAGAAAATCTTGCTGGTTGTTTTTGACTGTGTTCAGGCATTTCCAACGTTTGTGGAACAAGGTTGTGTTAGGCCCGAATAGTTCCGAAAGGAGCTTAATAGTCTCTTAAAAATCCAAGTCAGTGGTTTTCTTGGGTAGTATGAAGTCTACGAACCTACTATGTTCTGTAGTTCCCAGTTTTCTCAATAGTAGACGTACCTTTTTTTTACTGGGCCATTGTTCACAGTCTACGTTGAAAATATCTTCGTAGCGCCTGTAAAAGGCCTGGAAGGTTTTGTCTTCCTCTGGTACGTATTCAAAGGTATCCATTGAATTGTAGATTATACTCTGGGAGAATATTGTATCTTTTTCAGAGTTTGAGCCTTTTAATGCATTTACGAGTAATTCTTTAAGTTGTTTCTGTTGTAGTTCAGCATTCTGAAGCGTAATTCTTTGGAATTCCACTTGTTGTTTAT